ATTAATTTGAAATTTCCTTATTCAAATATGCAAAATAGTAGTCATTTAAATATAGTTAAAAACCGAGAATGTGAGAGAGAAAGAAAAAAAAAAAAACATAGAAAAGAAAAAAAAAATTTTTTTTAGATTATACCAATAAAAACAGATTTGTTTAGATCTATTGAATAAGTATTTCTTTTACTTTATTTTTAAAACTAGGGGTTATTTTTGTAGTTCTAATTTCATCATTTAAAACGTTCCACATCTTAGTTACCCTATTAACAAATGAGTTAGATGATTTAGAATTTTGATTTTTAGATAATAGGTAACATTTTTTTCTATTTGATATTTTAAAAAGATTGTCGGATTCCAGATGTGTATATCCATGTAAAATTTTATGAGCTAAGACTAGATCATAAGTCTTACGACGGTTTTCCAAGGATGGAAGATTAAGAAATTCTAATCTTTGTAAGTATGGTATATAAGGCAGTGAGCATTTTCTAAGAAGGACTTTTGTAAAGAATTTCTGGCATTTTTCAATTTTGTTAACTTCAGATCTTTGTTGTGGATTCCAAGTTTCAGGAGAATACTCTAGCAAAGGTCTTATGTAACTTTTATAGATAGTAAGCCAAGTTTTAGTAGATTTTGACTTAATTATTTTAAACACGAAATTCATTTTTATATACGCTATTCTGATAATTTTTTGTATATGTTCCTTAAATTTAAGCTTATTATCTATTATGATGCCTAGATCTCGTATTGAATCAACCTCATTTATAGTTGTATCAAAAATCTTATATTGATCTTTCGGGTTATTTTTACCAAGATAAATTATATATGTTTTATTTATAGCTATATTTAATTTCCATTTGGTTGTCCACTGTTCAATATTTTCAATAGCATTAATAAGCATTCTTCTTTCATTTTTAGTTTTATGTATAACATATACTTTAACATCATCGGCAAAAAGTTTAATTTTTACACCTTTTGGGATTATATCAGGTAAATCATTAATATAAATCAAAAATAATAACGGGCCTAAAACTGATCCTTGAGGTACACCTGATTTAATATTTCTAGGTTCAGATAACGTATTGTTAATTTTGACTCTAAAAGTTCTGTTCGAAAGAAAAGCTGAAATCCAACTTAAAATTTTTCCTCTTATACCTATTCTATATAATTTATTGATTAACAGGTCATGTGGTACTGAATCAAATGCCTTCTTAAAATCAATATATATACAGTCAATATTCTTTTTTCCCATTATTGCATCATACCAATCTTCTAATGTAGTGATTAGTTGTGTCGTAGTAGATCTATTTTTTATAAATCCAAATTGATCATTACTAAACAGATCGTTATCATGCATAAATTGAACAATATATTTGTTAAGAACCATTTCCATGACCCTACATATGGCACAAGTTAATGCAATAGGCCTATAATTTTCAGGATTTGATTTTTCTCCTTTTTTGAATAACGGTATTATTATAGATTCTTTCCAAATATTTGGTAGTATTCCTGAATCTAATGATATTCTGAATATTTCTAATAAAAAAGGAGCTATAGATGGAAGTACAATCTTTAATATTTTATAATTTATATTATCAGGTGAAGTACCATTTCTATTTGATAATTTTTTAATGATATTGATAATATCAGTTATGTCAAAGTCAACATCCTCGATGATAGGTACCTGATTATAGTCATTGATATTGTATTCATATTGCATATTAATGTTAGAAAAGTTTTCAAGAAAGATATCAGCAAAAATTTCAGACTTATCTATAGATTGTGTGATATATCTATTGTTATGGAAGAGAACTGGAATTTCATTATTAGTAAATTTAAATTTTTTAAGGTAATTATGAATAGAATTTTTATTTTTAGTGATATAAGCATTTTGTTTTTTACTATGAAAGTTTCTAGTTTGAATTTTTATATGCAATGATATACTGTCATATAATTCTTTATATTTTATTTTATCAGTTTTAAGCTGTCTATAAATTTCGGCTTTCTTTTTAATAGATGCTTTCAAGTGAGGTGGGTAATCATGTTTAAGGTCTTTTTTAGTTATATGTTTTTCTGGTACATAAAGATCAAGAGATGTTAAGATGTTATTTATGAGATGATTATATTTGTCTTCCAAATAAAAACTTTGTACGGATATGATCGGAATGATAGATGATAAAAATATATTTAATAAAGATGTATTAGCTTTATTATATTTTCTATATTTTATTGGTTTGACTTCTTTTTTGTTTATTGGGAATAACAAATCAAAGATTAAAGCATCATGATCAGAGTTAAATAAAGACCCATCAACATGTATATCATGAAATAATTCAGGTTTATTTGTTAGACAAATATCTAAATATGCATCATTTCTAGTAGGACCTGGTGTGGTGGAAAATAAATTCATAGTATTAAAAAAATTGACAAATAGATCTCCTAGATTGTTTTTACAATATGGAATATTATTGACCCAATTTAAATCCTTTGTTCCAAAATTTAAGTCACCTAATATGATGCAGTTAAAAGAAATAAAGGATTCAATTAGTTTAAGAAGTTTTTTAGTCTGAATGGTACTTGTATTTGGAGGTCTATAGATAAGAATAAAATTAATACATTTTGAATTTTGTATTTGTAGATGAATTATTTCTGAGTTAAACTTAGAGATGGACTGTTTAATAAAGAACTTAATATTCTTTCTAATAAAAATAGCGCAGCCGCCTCCCCTACGATTAATTCTATTGCATAAAACTATATTGTATTTTTCAAGTATATCTAAGTTAAAAATATTTTGCGTTTCTGTTGTAAGCCAGGTTTCCGTTACAAAAAAAATATCTATATTACATGCACTCAAAATGCAAGAAATTTCATCGATTTTATTTTTTAGAGATCGAATGTTTATAAGGCATCCTTTTATTTTTTTATTTAAAGATAAATTAGAATTTTTTTCATGTGAAATAGTCGGTTTTAGAGTATATTTATTTATAGGAGAAGTGAGATGACTTCTTAGTTTTTTGGAAGAGTTTTTTTAAAATTGTCTATCTCACTTCTTAAAATTACATTGGAAGCATAAATGACATAGTCAGCACCGGGGTGCTCACTACGCATTTTAAAACATTGTTTAACAAGATCTGAGCGAGATTTAAGCTCAGCAGCGGTTAGGGACTCCCTAACCCGTATATTAAAATGTGTGGTTGTATTTATTTTATTATTAATGATATATTTTTTGCCCCTTAAAATTTCCCGAACCGCTGCCTTGCTTGGCATTTTTACTTTTATTGGACGACAAGAATTATTTTTTTTAATACCCATTCGAAAAATAGCAGTTGGCAAACCAATGTCAACTTTACACATATTAATTATTTCTAAAACCTTGTTCTGGTCTTCCTTCACACGCTCCAGAGCATCAGATTTATTGCTTTCTTCCAATCCAGTAATTACTATGTTGTGAAGACGCTCGTTTTCCTCAAATTGCTGTTGTTGTTTTTGTAAATGAAGTTCAAAATTTCCATAAGAATTTTGTTGTTCATTTAGAAGGTCTGCTGCAATTTTTAGAAGAGAGCCCATTTGTCCAATAATTAATTTCGCCCAATTAGGTGTAGTCTTGTCTTGTTCCATTTCTGTTGCAATTTTGTCAAAATTTAAAGAATTAATTTCTTCAACAATTTTGCTGCGTTTTTCGTTGTTTGTCATGTTTGCTGCAAAATTTAATGGAGAAAATTCAGAAGAATTGCGCTTAGACATTTTAGTCAAACAATATTACCCAATTGTTTTAAATTTTTCAAAAGTCCTTAAAAATGAAAAATTGATTTAAAAGAGATAAAAGGGCAAAAATAAAAATTAAGAGAAATGAAAAACTATGTTTTTAATTTAATGAGTCATCAAAGGAAAAATAGTATAGTTGAGTAAGAAACAATAGGATAAATTGTCATTTAGATGTATTTTTGAACATAATGCCAAACAATAAAATTTATTTATTAATTTGAAATTTCCTTATTCAAATATGCAAAATAGTAGTCATTTAAATATAGTTAAAAACCGAGAATGTGAGAGAGAAAGAAAAAAAAAAAAACATAGAAAAGAAAAAAAAAATTTTTTTTAGATTATACCAATAAAAACAGATTTGTTTAGATCTATTGAATAAGTATTTCTTTTACTTTATTTTTAAAACTAGGGGTTATTTTTGTAGTTCTAATTTCATCATTTAAAACGTTCCACATCTTAGTTACCCTATTAACAAATGAGTTAGATGATTTAGAATTTTGATTTTTAGATAATAGGTAACATTTTTTTCTATTTGATATTTTAAAAAGATTGTCGGATTCCAGATGTGTATATCCATGTAAAATTTTATGAGCTAAGACTAGATCATAAGTCTTACGACGGTTTTCCAAGGATGGAAGATTAAGAAATTCTAATCTTTGTAAGTATGGTATATAAGGCAGTGAGCATTTTCTAAGAAGGACTTTTGTAAAGAATTTCTGGCATTTTTCAATTTTGTTAACTTCAGATCTTTGTTGTGGATTCCAAGTTTCAGGAGAATACTCTAGCAAAGGTCTTATGTAACTTTTATAGATAGTAAGCCAAGTTTTAGTAGATTTTGACTTAATTATTTTAAACACGAAATTCATTTTTATATACGCTATTCTGATAATTTTTTGTATATGTTCCTTAAATTTAAGCTTATTATCTATTATGATGCCTAGATCTCGTATTGAATCAACCTCATTTATAGTTGTATCAAAAATCTTATATTGATCTTTCGGGTTATTTTTACCAAGATAAATTATATATGTTTTATTTATAGCTATATTTAATTTCCATTTGGTTGTCCACTGTTCAATATTTTCAATAGCATTAATAAGCATTCTTCTTTCATTTTTAGTTTTATGTATAACATATACTTTAACATCATCGGCAAAAAGTTTAATTTTTACACCTTTTGGGATTATATCAGGTAAATCATTAATATAAATCAAAAATAATAACGGGCCTAAAACTGACTAAGCATGTACACTCTTGCTGATCAATGTTTGGACCGTGTAAATTTGGCTGAATATTTATCTTTTGTGGAAAATGGACTTAAAGTAATTTTAACATAAAAATTTTTCAATAAATTTATTTTGTAGGATTCTCATGATATTCGACTTCTTGCCTATTTAATGCTCACTCGGCTGGTTAATAAATGCCCAATACAAATATCTCAACGTTTGGATGGATTTTGTGAACATATTAAAGTAAAAAGAAAAATAAATTTCAAAAAATATTTTTTTCAAGCCTCAACTTTTGTCACGTCCAAAACAAAATGCTGTTAAACAAGAAAGTGATAAACACGAGGAATTGAAACGTTCTGCAGTCCGAACAGTTTTGGCATTGAAGCGTGTGCCAAATAGTGATCGTTCTCAGAAATTAACAGATTTATGGGATATAATTAATACAAATAATGAATTGACTGCTATGAAGGAAATGCAGGTAGAAAATTTAAAAAGAGATTGAAAAGTAACACTACTAAAAATTAATTAGGCTCGTGAACAGACTGCTTGGACTGCGGTGAATGGCTTTGGACATTTGTCGCCTCATAATGTTAACGAAGCAATGGAAATTGAATAAAAAATGAATATACAATTCTCCCAAAATTTTCGGGTTTTGAATATTTTATTTTTAAATGACACAAATAAATTGCATTGTACACATGGTCTTTAACGATTTTAAAAAATTTTTGATTTGATTTAAAAATAGCCATAAACCATGTATTTGTACAAGAGTACATCCTTTTTATTAATTAAAAAAAATAAAAATATTTTTCATTTAATATATTCACTGGGAAGGAAAGGAGATCAAAAAATTTTTTGTGCATTTTTAAACTAAAAATATTTTTTTCTGGAATCATCATTTTTTGTTATTTCGAATATTAAATCCATTGAATTGACGGCTGTAAAATGGAGTGTCACTTTTCATTACTTGATCATCGTTTATGGCAAGGATTGCCTTAAATATTTAAAATATTATTAGATTAAATTTTTTTGTTTCCACCAACTATTTCAGTAATAATCCCTTCTTTATCCTTTATTTTTATTCATAGGAAAGCTAATTAATTCAGTAACCTATATTTTTAAATCTTCTGAAAAATGCAAGAGACTTATGTAAGCCTAACATAATAATCCAAAATATTTAAATTTTATTGAGAATTAATCGAAATTATTCAAGTCCTACTGAAATAGATTGTCTGGAAACTTAATTATTTTTGACCTTGTTTAATGGAGTATACCTGGGTGGGACCCAATAATTTGTTGAATCAAATGCAGAATCGAGGCTACTAAAAATTAACGATCAGAAAAAAGTTTCAAAAGAATTTAAGAACCCAAAAAAGCTTCGTCCACCAGCACGTTTATCAGCGGAAAATTGTCGACCACCACCCCTTTTAGCCCATCCACCTGCACCCACTCCATTAAAGCCTTGATCAGCGAAGGGTCGGATAAAGTAACGGCCACCACCTACATAAATTTTTGATTTTTTGCAAAAAAATATTTTTATTTTTATTAATTTTGTGGTGTAATTTCTTTTAATTTCAAATTAAATTTAAGACAGGAAAATTGCAATCCTGTCAATCAAATTGACAACAGAATTTTTCTAGACGTCATTTAAATTCTTTAAATTAAAATTTGTTAAATAAGGAAGCAAAAATTAAAAAAAATAAATATTTTTATTTATTTCCTCATCAAAATTTAAAGAATCACCTCTCTTCCAAGTACCTTCACCGCCACCGAAGAATCCATAGAAAGGTCTCGCCCCACCTCTTTTCTCCTCGTAGAAGGGCCTTGCTCCCCCACGTTTCTCTTCTAATTTAGAAAATGCTCTAGCCCCACCTGTATTTTTTTTAGAAATTATTTTTCTAAATTAAAATCACAACCACCTCTTTTTTCTCCAACTAAAAATGTTCGTGCACCCCCTCTTTTCAATTCATAACTTGCATCATCAAAATCAGGGCGTTGGAAGGCGCGTGCACCAGCTCGTTTATTACTGCTTTCATAAAATTGAGAAGCTGGTAATAATTCGTCAATTGCTTCATTTTCAATAGCTAAACAACTTGGGGCTGAAATAAATAAAAAATTGTTATATTTTTGGTAGTTAATATTCTTTTTAATTTAATAATTATTATTAGAGAGAGACTAAGATTGACGGTTTTAGAGAATATTCAGACTGAAAAAATCTTTAGTTTAGCACCAAAAACTGGTGTTGCTTGAACAGAAGAATCAAGGATTTTCTGGTCCAATTCCTTGAATCGATTCTAGATATCCCAAAAATTTTCTAGAACCGACAACCTCACTAAAACCCAAAAATTGACAGTAATGCTTTTGATATGTTAAAAACGACATAAATAAAATAATTAAAAAGTAAAGCAAAAAAGAGAAGAAAGCTTTAATTAATTTGAAAATAAAAAATTACAATAGTGAATAATAAAAATAGACTTTTAATATTAAATTAAAAAAATTTTTTTCTATCAACTTTTCCAATTTATTTTTTTCCTATTTAATCTCCATTTATTTTTTTCATTTTTAAAATTAAATTTATTTACTATTTATTTTTTTCTTTTTACTAAAATTAAAAACTCTTTTTTTAGTCAACCTCCCCCAAGGGAGTATTTTTGTACTTTTTGCTTAAGTAAAAATATATAGGGGCATTTTTGAAATGTTTTTTGCCTAATTAAATTGAATATTTAAATATATACTAAAAATATTTTTTTTAGTTTTATTTTTTATGTTTTTGTCCAATTTAGAAGATTAAATGTAATAAAAGAAGAAACGTCATAAAAATTTGAAAAAAAATTTTTTTTTAATTTAAAAATCGAAATTAGAAACCTCAAGATATATATTTTAGAGGGTGAAAAATTTTTATCTTATAAAAAAAGCTGTATTTTAAGGATGATTCACTTAGCAGCATTTATAAAACGCTTATCTAAAAGGAGAAAGGAGAAAGCATTAGTCGATGCCCCGGTAGCTCAATGCTCTTGTATGTGGCAAACAAAAGCGCCTAGCAATAACTTCAAGGAAGGAGATCGCGCAGGTTGGAATCCTGCCCGGACATTTGTTTTACTTTTTCTGTATCTTAAATAGGGAATGTCGATTGAGGTCCCTCACCCAATGGCCAAATAGATTTAAAAAATATATTGAAGGTTAGTATTGGGAAAATCAAAAAATATTTTAAAATTAATTTATTTAAAAATAAAATTCCCTTTTCCTTTTTTATTTAAAATTTTTCTCTCTCTCAATAATTTTAACTATTTTTTAGGCTAAAATAATTTAATATCCCCTATATTTTTATTAAATTAAATTCATTATTTATTATTTTTTAAAGGGATGGATGGTTTTTGATTAAAAAAACTAAAAAAGAATTTTTTCCAAACATGCTCTCTCTCTTGACAGTAAAATAAAATTAACATAAAAATAAATAAATAAAAAGATTTATTTAAATAAATAAAAGCTAAATTTAGCTAAAATTTTAATTTAATTATTTATATATTCTTTGTTTTTTGTTGTTAAAAATAATAAATTATAATGTTAATTAAACAAAAAAGAATATATGACTTTAATTTACTTATTTAAAAATAATTTTGGAGAAAAATAAATTATAATATTTAGTAAAAATAAATTAAAAAAAGAAAATTAATAAAATAAAATTTAAAAGTTAAAAATACTTATTTTAAAGAGGAAGGTTGATATTATTAATTTAAAATGTTAATTAAAAATTAATTTAAAATCTTCAATTTTATTTTCGGTTAAAGAATATTTTTTTTATTTTTATTTGTTCCTCACTGGGGTTGATATCTGGAGTCTGGATATCCGAAAATTTTCGGTGCGGATCCTGCCGAGAAAAAAAAATTTACTAATTTCGGGAATTGGGTCGGCATGATCCCTGGTTAGGATATCCGAAGATTTCCTAGGATTCGCCCACTTCCTCACTACGTAAACAAGGAATTCAAAAACCTTTTTTTAGATTTTTAAAATAATTTAAAAATCTATATTTATTTTTATTTTTACATCATCAAACAAATATATTCTTTAAATAATTCTTTCTTTTCCCAATTTCCTTTTTGATTTTATTTAAATAAATTCAATAAAAAATATTTTTATTTTTTAAATGTCTATACATTTATTGCGTAAAATGTTTCTTCTTCTTTTTTTATTAAATATATAAAAATCAGTTCCTTGGAAAAAAAGATTTCCTTACAAAATAAATTTGGAAATTTCCAAAAATGGAAGAGTTTATTTAAAGAAAATATTTATTTTAAGAGATAAAATTGAGAATTTAATTATAGTAGAGAGATGACATAAAAAATAATCAAAAGAATAGAAAGAGAGAGAGGAGATAAGAAAATATTAGTGACCCTACACAATCTTTAATTATTTTAATTTTAAATTTAAAATCCTTCCCTACCTTGTTCAAAAGTAGTTCCAGCAATTAAAAGCAACAAAAGAGAAACTCGACGTAATTCCAATTGGCAAGTAGCTGCTAATTTATTACTTAATTGTTTGACTACATTTTGTTGTCCTTTTGAAGGGTGTGAAGGAATTGAAGAAGTAAAGGAAGAAAGAGAAGAGGAAGAGGAGGAAGAGGAAGAAGAGGAGTTTCTTTTCTTCATTTTTTAAAATTTAAATATTATTTTTCTAAAAAATAATTTTATTTGAAACAATTTGTCTCTCACAAAATAATTTAAAAAGACGAGACTTTAAAAATATCACCCCTAAAAAATAAAAATTTTAATTGAAAATTAAATTAGAGACAGAAAAGATTCCTTCGATTTTTAGTAAAATAATTTTTTCGTTAAAACGGATCCGATAAAGAACTACTACTTTTGAGTCAAACAAAAAACATAAAAATAAATTAGATCGACGTTAACATATGTATAAACAATAAATCTAAATTTCTTTAGAGATTATTCTAAATATTTTATTTATTCAAAAACAATTTGGCTATTTAATCTTTGAAATTCATAATCCAAAGAGAAAGAGAGGAAATTACTAAATTCCTTTTCATTATTTAAAAGGTGTTAAGGTAGGTGTTTTTACTTTTTATTCTTTTCGAACAAAAACAAAAGAATCTCTAAAAACTATTCTTCTAAATAATAAATATTTAAAAAAAACTTTTTATTTAAATATTTTAAAAAAAGAAAAATGGAAGGAAATAAAGAATGGAAAAAAGTTGAGGGGAAGGGGAGGGGGAGGAGAAAATAAAAAAAAATATAAAGTCATTTTATTTGGTCAAGTAATGCCTAAAGGGGGGAAACAACGTTCACTAAATGAAAAAAAGTGAAACAAAAAAATAAAAGAGGGGAGGAACACACAAAAAGAAAATTGGCTGGATATTGTCGAGGGAATGTTTTTGGAGAAGATTAAAAAGATTAAATGAAATAAATGAAGTAAAGGAGAGGGGGAGGGGTTGGGGAGGAAGAGAGGAATGAATTGGAAGAATGAATAAAAAAATAAAAATGGATGATAAAATGTTAAAAGGAAGAAGATGAGAATGAAGATAAAATATTAGTCCGGTCTACTGAAGATGCTGGATCGCTCCCAGCCGCCTTATAACTCTTTGCACTAGCTGAAAAAGAAAAT